TGTGACTCAGTGTGATGATGCTTTCAGTAGACCTGATCTTCTTTAGATCAGGTAGAAAAATAAGACTCAAACAACGCAAAAATCCCTCTTTAATGAAAACCATAAACATGCTTCTTACAAAATCCCTCTCAGAATTTCTAGTTACTAGCAAAGGGAAACGTTTACCTACAGATATATTGCCTTTCAGATGTGGTGCATTCATTCTTTTGCTCATTCAAGAAATAATTCCTGAGCACCTGCTATGCTCCAGGCACTGTGCTAGTGGCAGGGGACATGGAGGGGAAGAAAATAGATGCCTTGCAAGCTCTTATTGTGAATAACGCTGCTGTGGACATGGTATGGACAAGTATCTCTTCCAGACCCTGATTTCAATTCATTTCACTGTATACCAGAAGTGGAATTTCTGGATCATATGGTAATTCTATGTTTAATTTCTTTAAGGACCTGTCATCCTTTTTTCCACAGCAGCCATATCATTTTACATTCCTACAAATAAGGCACAAGGATTCCAATTCTCCCCCTCCATGCCTGCACTTGCTATTTTCTATTTGTTTGATAGTAGTTATCCTAATGCTGTGAGGTGGTATCTCACTGTAGTTTGGATTTGCATTTCCCTAATGATTAGTGATGTGGAGCATCTCCAATACCCTACTTGCTTTTGTCTTTACAACAACTATTGTCAGTCTTCAAGATCCATTTTGGTGCCATTTTATTTTCTAGTCTTCTCTTCAAATTTCTTACTTTATAAAACCTTACAGAGGCTCTATAGATCAAAACTTTTCATGAGAGTTCCTCTTCCAAAGGAACTTGGAAGGTTGATTAGCTTGGTCTTGGTTGTGCTAGACTTTAAACCCAGTTATTCGCGCTTTTCAAGCATTTCTCCTGAGATAACTTATTGTGAGTAGAAAAGGCTAATTAAAAGATTAAGTGTGTGATTTTTTCTTTGGTAAAATCCAGCAGGTCAAACTAGTTTCAGAACACTACCCATTCTTCCCTGAGGTAATATTCAATATTTACATCAACGCACAATAATTCTTGCTTTTCTGTCTGGTTCTACCCTGGAAAGATCTCTTACTCCATGAGGGAATGTGGATGGTGTTTGTGATTTTATCTGGAGACACTGAGGAGTAAGGTGACAATTCAAACAGTCCTTCCTGCTTTGCCATGGTGTTCTGTGGAACAATCTGGTTCAAAAAGTATCCTTCAAGAAATATCCTTCATACCTGGCTTCCAGACTAGACTCATTTCTTTTGTGATAAGTTATTTCTCTTTGTCACCCAAGGACACAGTTTGGATAGTCTGCATCATAATTAGGGTGACCACAGCTGCAGCTTTAAGGGATAGTGAAGTATCTCCAAACATTGGGGCAATCATCTCGTCCTTCCCACTTACTTTCGTAAACCTCCTGCTATGTTTTATTGGACCCCAGCTCACAGGGCTAGATTAATCATAATCCTTTGTAATGTACTGTCATCATTATTCCTACTGTCTGGAATTTAGTTTTGCCGTCCTAGGATGGCAAGCTGACCTTGTTCTCTACCCTTTGGCGGGCCACGTTAATGATCACCCACTCTAACAAATTATTGTGATGCTTATGTCTGTCTTTTGAGAAACTATGTTATTTATCCAAGAAGCATATTTCTTTGTAGATGAACAGAATGCTGTTTCTTCATTACCTACTCTCTGATGGGCATTTTTCTAAGGGCTGTATAGATATTTAACTCCTTTTATCCCCACAACAGTCTCAGCTGTGGTAGTCATTATACCTATTGCATAGACAAGAAAACTGAGACTCAGAAGAGTTGAAGCAACTTGTGCAAAAATTACATGATTTGTAAATGCCACTGCCAGGATATGAAGTCTAGGAATCATTGATTGTGAAATGCATGCTTCTAACCACAAATGAGCTCTTTCCCAATTCCCCGCTCAACATGCAATCTAGATGGGAAATACTGGATGGACCTTATTAAACCTACTCAAGCTATTTCCCTTATAAAGCTGACCACAACAGTTACTCCTCCATTCCCAAGAAAAATATCAAGCCATCACGGACATCAAGGTCAGAGTCCAAAGCTTTCAGGCCTATAGCAGCATAAGGCAAAATCTTTGGAGAAGCAAGCTTTTGTTGTTTAGTGTGATTCCACGTGAATGCCAAATATTGGCCCTGCCAGTGTCTTTGCACACTGTCTTGCTTAAACAGGAGGACCCTGTAACAACTTTAGAATCTGTAAGAATGTGTACAGGAGTTTTTGATCAATAGCTACATGATAAATCGATGTGGTAAAAACAGTGACCTGTACATTTCACAATAGTTTTTTAAAAGATAAATACCAATGTCCTTGTTAAAATAAAAGTGTTCATTTAGACAGTCTTATTAAACTGTAGTTTCAGAGTCTAGTCAAGAAAGTTGTTCTCTTTTTGTGTTTTATTGAGATATAATCGACATTCAGCCTGTATAAGTTTAAGGTGTACAGCATAAGAAATACATTGAAATACATATACAGCAAAATGATTAGCACAATCAGTTTAGTGAACGTCAAGAAAAGTAGTTCTTTGTCAGAGAGAATTTAATATAAAGAATGGTTTAAGGAGATATTGGAAGATTGAAAAGGTGAGAAGATAGGACCACCATGATTCACCTTTCAGGAATGAAGGTTTGGGTCACTACCCAACCAGATAAAAAACTCTGACCAGCTGAGAGCCTGGCCTTGAGTGTGTGAGTGTATGTGGGGTGGTGGGTAGAAGAGAGAAAGCTTAATAACAAACACAACTATCTCATAATAACGTATTTGTATTTATCTCAAATTAGTGTCATTGAATATGAAAACACTTATTTCTTCAGAATAAAGAGAATGGTGATCTCAGATTGTGAACAATACTTTAGTTGCCAGGGACATGGTTAACTTTGTTAGATAATAAATATTTTAAAAGACAAGTGTTTTTAAAGAGCAGTCAGTACATACACAGTAGGAGCTCCAAGAGTCCTTACCCAGCAACATTGGATTCAGGGCTTTACGATGTGGTCTGTTAGGACTTCAACAGTGAACCTTAGAAGCCTGGCCCCCGAGAAGGGTGGCTGGTACACATATAAACAGACATGTGAACTAAAGTGGAGAGTCTCTGATCTCTGGGTAACATTTAGTGCCAGTTAGGGCATGGAGCCTTGACTATTGGGAAGTACATTCACATTAAAACAGGGCTCCAGTCATCACTTTGGGGTGCAGAGGGTAGAGTTTACCCAGCAGGAGTCCCAACCAAATGTCCTGGGGACCAGGGCTCAGGTCCTAGGAAAAACTGGAGCTCAAATCAGGAAGGAATCTGAGGAAGGCTGCTACTCGGTGAACATGGGTAACCCAGGAACCAGCCAGGGAACACAGGTGGTCTTAGGGGCAGAGAATAACTTTAGCCCTTACCTACTCCATCTACTAGCAGAGTACCAAGTAAAGTCAGTTGGGTTCTTATTGGCTGAAGGATGTGATTGGGTTGACCCTACAAGTACTAGGTCTGTAGGACTGATCACTGGGCAGGGTTGGTGAGCAGGGACCTAGAGGTGTCTTTTTGGTCAAATTGGCATCACCACGTATCAACAGTGCTTCTCCTGTTCATCTGATAAACACCAGACAATTCTGTTGAGGTGATATGGGCAGAAGTAATATAGTAATGGGGAGAAAATAAGGGCAGATAAATGTGAGAAGTCAAGTGAGGAGAAAATGTGAAATTTCCAATTAACTTTATTTTGGGGTCCTATTTGAGCTATTTCCGAATTTCCGGGATCAAAGAAATTCAAAGCCAGAGAACTGGGAGCTTTCCACATTCTGTGTATCTTTAAGAAAGACTAAGACTGGGGACTGACGGACTTTTTACTCAGTGAGATTACTGACGTTGGTCCAACACACCCGCAAGATGAAAACAGTTACTCACAGGAACCATAGAGACAATCATTCTGTCTTCAGAATTTCTAGGTAACCAATCTTCAAATGCTATAGTGTACTAATATCGAAGGTTAGAAACATCTAATTTAAATAAAGAATTCTGACCAAATTGGATAGTTTGCATCAGTATGAAAGTTTATTGAAAGTCATTAGTAAATGAGCATAGAAAGGTTTTTTTTTTTTTTCCCATTAAAGAACACTTTCTGGCAAAGTGAACAGAAGAAATATAGAAACTGCAAAACACCTTTTAGACACCTTATTTTCTAGACCATTAAGATTGAAGCGTTTTCCTGGAGGAGATGTTTCTCATGATTCTGTACATAATGGCCTGTGTGAAGGGAGACTCTTTCCTCTTGATGCGGTTTAATAGTAGTGTTTCTTGGTTTCTGATTCAACCATAGATGAAAGGACTCTACCGTCAGGTGCCACCTCTTCAATAATTGTCTTGATTACACTGGCTTTCTTAGTATCTGTATGCAAATCCCAAAAGAAAACGAGAATTCAACCCAAGCAATTTGTGGGGGTCCTTACTAATTAACAAGCAAATTTCTAAAAGAAAAATACACTAAATTTCAAAAAAGAAACTTCATTTTTTTAATTTTGCTTTAAAAAACCAAAAACCCTCAGCAATGTTTAATCTACAGCATTTTCGACCACGCCATTTTCCCTTCCAGATTGGTCTAAGAGTACAGCTCATTAAAACATGCAAGCGGGAAACTTCTGTAAGAGTTTAATTTTCTTAAACTGCTCTAGAGCTGAAAAAGCAACAAAACCATCACAGAAAGTCAAAACTAGTTCTGATTACCCCAGCTAGTTTCTGCTGACCTTGGTCCCTTAGATGAGGACTCGCCAGCGGACCCGGAAGACGAGGACTTGTGGCCTCCGCTGGAACTGCTGCCACCGTAGCCGCCGCCGGAACTGCCGCCGAGACCTCCGCTGGAACCGCCGGCCTGGCCGCCCCCGGAACTGCCGCCGTGTCCGCCGCCGCTGGAGCTTCCGCCGCCGTAGCCGCCGCCGCTGGAGCTTCCGCCGCCGTAGCCGCCGCCGGAACCGCCTCCGTAGCCCCCGCCGGAACTTCCGCCATAGCCGCCGCCGGAACTTCCTCCATAGCCGCCGCCGGAACTTCCGCCATAGGCGCGCCCGCCGCCGCGGGAACTACCGGGGGTAAGTGTGACATCGGTTAACTCTAACGTTGGGCGACAGTCGGTCGCTTTCCAGATTATTGTTGCTTTAGAAAATAAGCAAAACGTTGTTGGGAGAAAAGACAGCCTTGCCAACTATGAATTTAGAAATCCATTCTTAAAAAAATTCTCTAAAAACAATTCTGTATAGTATGCACAACCCTAAGGATCGTTCTCGGGCCAAATTCGTGGGAAGTTGAGACTGGTCGCATCGGCCTTTTCCTGTGCTCTGCCTCCTCCCTTCTCCCCTCTTTCTCCCATCCTGTGGCACTTCCTCGGGTTTTGGAGAAGCCTTGCAATTTGGAATATTGCATCTAAGCAGTGGGGATCCTTTAAACACTTTTGTCATTTACCTTCCCTCTCCTTCTAGCAGGCTGCGGTAGGTTTGAATTTCATTCTCCAGTCTGATCTTAATATCCAGGAGTTGTTGGTACTCAGCATTCTGGCACTCGGTTTCTGCTCGAATCTGCTGTAGTTGTTCCTCCAGAGAGGAGATCTGAGCCTGGATCTGTGAGAGCTGTACACAGTAGCGGCCTTCCGTTTCTGCCAAGGAGGCTTCCAGAGATTGTTTCTGAAAAAAGGAGAGAATATATTGTGGCTTAGCGACCTCCTTGTTCAGTTGAGTGCAGTGAGGCTTTTCAATAATTTAATACGACATCATGTAGAAGAATAAAGAAAATGAATAGAATGTGTTTTTTTGCTTAATGGCAACATTTCAATTTCAGCACTTTTAGATCAATGCCAATAATGCTTTTCTCCGGTTAACAAAGAACTCCAATTTTATTTCTACTTTCTTAGCCCAACTCTGCGTTTTGTTTTGTGTTGGGTTGCATATTCTCATGTGAGCATGAAACTTTGTAGGAGAAAATCGAAGTCATTTTATAAGACAGTTCTTAACATACCAGGGCCAATTGGGACTGTAGTTCAATCTCCAGACCTTGAACAGTGCGTCTCAATTCAGTAATCTCAGATTTATGGCTGGACATTTGTTCGATGTTACTGTTGATTTCTGTAGTCAGTTCCTGGCTCTAGAGTATTAAAAACAGGGGAAAGATGAAGAAAATCGGACGTGATAACCAAACCAAACCTCCATTGGCTTCAGTAGGAAGGAAGATGCATGACCTTTTCATTGAACCAGGCCTCAGCGTCTTTGCGGTTCTGTTCAGCAAGTTGTTCATACTGATTTCTCATGTTATTCAGAAGTTCGGTCAGATCAACACCTGGGGCAGCATTCATTTCCACATTCACGTCACCAGTGGACACGTTTTGGAGGTCTCTCATTTCCTGTTTGAGGATCAGAAAGATTTAATAACTGCACTGTGATTACAATGAGCCCTTTTTGTTTTGGCTAGGGAAAGTATAACTTTCTGTGTCACCTCCTCATGGTTCTTCTTCAGGTAGGCGAGCTCTTCAGTCAGGCTCTCAATCTGCATCTCTAGGTCAGCCTTGGTCAAGGTCAGCTCGTCCAGCACCCTGCGCAGGCCATTGATGTCGGCCTCCACGCTCTGGCGCAGGGCCAGCTCATTCTCATACCTGAAACAAGCATGATCCAAATACTGGCTATAACTTATACTGGAGGCGTACCCAGGTAGAGACTGTTTAAAAAGTAAGTATAGAGTTGATTTCCCATCATGGCAACATTTATCATATACAATTTCACATGGGGATGTTAGTGGTTTAATGCAAAGAAGCTTAGTGGTTACTTTAAAATGCATTTTCTTCTTTTAATATTGCCCAAAAGGTAGCATTGAAATGGAGGATTTCTCTGATGACTCCAATAGTGTTTGACTTTGAATGAATTCAGGAAAATGTAAATGCTATTGTGGGCATGCAAAGTCATTGTTAAGAACAAGGTCTGTATCTGTTGGGACAATATTGTACCACATTCGCTTAGCTTACTTCAGCCTGAAGTCGTCAGCTGCCAGCCTGGCGTTGTCGATCTGAAGCACCACATTGGCATTATCATTGGTTAGATTGATGATCTGGAGAGAGAGGCAAAGAAATTAGATACAGATCTGGCTTTTATAGAGGCATGCATAGTTGAACTGCGTTTTTATGTTGTTCTCTTGGAAAATCTGGGAGGCATTTATCAAAATATGAAATATGACAGACTTACCCATATACTGAAACTTGAGTTATTTGTTCTCTTGAAGTTTCTATACTCTTTGATTTCCGTGTCATCCCTTTCTGAAAACTAACTGGCCTTATATAGATGTGTTCCAGCTAGTGTGTCCCCCCGTTTATACTTTGTGATTTCTCTGTATTTCAGCGAACTTTTGACTGACTTGTACGTGTTTTTGCTTTAACTTGTCATAAATATATCTTCTGAATGAATACACTCTGAGCGGGCACACAGTAGGTGCAATTCACAAATTCGCTAGAGCCAAGCAATACCCCATTTGCATACTAGAGAATTCATGTTTCTTGCAATGAGTATTTTTTTGTTATCAATCTGAATAAATTTTGTTCTGGTTCATTTCATAATTCTTTCAGTTACTATATTTGAAATATCTAGTGTATTTTAACTATAGACTCATTATACACTCATTGAGCCCTAAAACCTTCTCAGTAATCTGCCATCCTATAAGCGAAAGAACACACTCGTTGGATGAAGATTGCAATGACCATAGCCTCACAAATATCTTTGATGAGACTTGGTTATTTTTGGAAGCAATAAAGTAAGATAGGCAAACACAGTGAATAGCTATACTGTGCTCAATTTAAGTTCATCCGCCTGGATTACATTGATGAGAAATAGGCCTAAAGTTGGATTTTCAAAATGCCCCTTACCTGATTTTTAAGATCTTCAATGATTTGGTAGTATTTGCTGTAGTCACGAGGCTCCCGCTGGCCTGCATTGCCATGCTTTTCATACCACTCCTTGATTTTGCCTTCCAGCTCATAGTTTGATTCTTCCAGAGCCCTAACTTTGTCCAAGTAGGAAGCCAGGCGGTCGTTCAGATTCTGCATGGTTACTTTTTCATTTCCAGAAAGAAGGCCGCCATCTCCTCCAAATCCACCACCGAAGCCTCCTCCAAAGCCGCCCCCAACGAAGCTGCCTCCTCCGAAGCTGCCTCCTCCGAAGCTGCCTCCTCCAAAGCTGCCTCCTCCAAAGCTGCCTCCTCCGAAGCCCCCACCTAAGCTGCTGCTTCCATAGCCTCCACCAAAGCTGCCTCCACCAAAACCTCCTCCTGATCCTCCTCCATAGCCTCCCGATGAGCCACCAAAGCAGCCTCCACCAGAGCTGCCACGGCTAAAAGAGCCACCACTGAACCCCCCTGAGCTAAAACCTCCACCAAGGGAGCCTTTGCTGCTTGAAATTCTGAGAGATGATCCCCCTCCTCCTCCGCCTCCACTGCGGGAGGAAGAGTATTGCTTGCGTGAGCTGTATCGAACAGACATGGTGATGCTGTTTAGCCCAGAGAGTGCCTGCTACCAAGGACAGTGACAAGCCTTTATATACTGACAGGGTGTGTCCCGTGTGTGTTGGAGTTTGCTTGCTTGCATGATTTTCTTTTTGCCAGTTTAGCATCTTTGGCTTATGATTGCATAAATTTTCTTCAGTAATCACCAATTCCAATAGGTATGGTTTTGAATTTGCCCTAGGAACAAACAGGAGGTTTGCTATGTTGAAATTGAAAATGGGTGTAGTTCAGGTGAGTGTATGTTTCATTATGTTTTTTCATCTTTTGAAGACCATTGGGCAACTCTTAAAATCCTGTCTTTTCTCAGCACTATGTAGGTAGCACAGAATGTTCTCAAAATTTGGAAAAAGAATTTTAGCTACAAAATTATAGTTAAAATAAGATGTTTATTTAAAAAATGTATATTTTAAACAGTTTCAATTAATTGGAACAAGAATTAGCATGAAGCCTTCCAGAATCATGCTATAATAAGGATCTTGTACAAAACTGTAAGCTGCCAAAATGAAAATACAAAACATATGCTAAACAATTTAATTAGTGTTTAAAAGTTGCCACACATAAAATATTAAAGCCATAAGGGCACAATTTAAGAAGTATATGTGCGTATGTTTATAGGGAATCTTTTAATTTATTTGGAGAATGAAAGTATATTGATATTTTGCCTGGGAAATTGGAAGTGAGGAATTATTTAGGAACCTTTAATTTAATGATCCTATTCTTTTTAACATAAAAAAAATCTAAACTCATGAAGTTCTCTTGGAATCTTTTTGACCTTTAAATTCATTGTACTCAAGGCTTATTTGAAGAGCATAATGCAGAAATTCTTGGCCCCAGATATGAAGAACTAACCTCTAGTAGGTTCTTTATACTAACTTTGATAGAAAAGGGAGAATTTAAATGTGATTTTGAGTAAAAATTTGTTTGCAAGAATAAACATCCAAATTAGACCATAATACTTACTCCAAAAATTATGACCTAGACTGTGAACATATGTTTCCAAGCTGCATTCTTTTTCTCAAAAAAATTTCTCTGTATATACTGTGATATATTTGGATATAGAATTTGGTATAACACTTTATATATACATATGTGCAGTATTTAATTGGGACCTTACAACATGACATAAAATTGTTTTATATCTGTTCACAGGCTAAGACATTTATATTGTTCAAAAATACATATATACATATATATGTACATATGTATATATGTTTATACATATATATACGTATATACATGCATTTTACAATTCTACAGTGCTATTTGTGATGCTGTGATTTTATAATCTCTGAAACAAGCTGCTGAGATATGGCTGGTTGTTATTATCTGTAGTTTATAGAGGAGGTAGTTGAAGCTGAGAGAGGTTATGATTTTGCCCAAAGAGATATAGTAGGTGGTTGAACTGAGCTTGGAAACTTGGTCTTTGATGCCCGGTGTTTTGCTTTTTCTTACTCTACCAATATATATGTATGTGTTCTGGTGGATTTGGTGTGATAGAACTGAATGCCTCTATTTCTTATCATAAACTTCTCCACATGGGAAAAAACAAAACAAAAACAAAAAGTACTTGGAAGCATGAAAATATTGAAAGGGTATTTGGCAGGCACTCTTCTATGAGGAATTGCTTTTCAAATTCAGTTTGTAGCTGCACATTCCAGTTTATGAAAACTGTAGAAATAGGTTCTGCAGGGAAACGGAATGTGGTTGGGAGCATTAATGAAGAGTTGATTGTCAGAGTGGAGCTTACTACCCAACAAATGACAGCTTCTCCAACTTGTTAGCACATGCAACTGGGGCGGTAGTTGAGAGAAAAACGAAACCCAACCATGGGAATTGATCCTTGATGAAGATAACATGCAGTAAAGAAAGGCTATGATAATCAGGAAAGGAAAATACAAGATTATACTAAGTTCAGAGAGCATGTTGAAGCCTTGATATTAATGAAAGCGTTTGGAAAGAAAAGTTTTAATTAAAGAGAGATTTTGATAGGTTTTACCCGTAATTGTTGCAAATTTTGGATCTTGATCGTACCAGATTTGCTTTAGTATTAGCCTTTAATTTCTTCTCCTGGTGGGAAAATATAAAAATTTCCCTCTAGTTTCACTTAGTTAACAAACGGTATGAAGAGATCTATTACGGTCATATCAACTCAAAGAATATGCGAGAGGAAACATTTGCATAAAAGTACAAGAGAACAAATACGTGTATAGAGACTCTTCTAATACTGACTGTCACATTTCATTTAAGCTACCTTTGATGTTATTATCAAAGATTACTTATTAACTTGTATACTCTAGAAAGTGATTTGTTTTTATTTTCACTGTCATTTATTGAAATCAGCCTTTGGCGTGAGTGACATTACAGAGGTGCCATGGAATAATTCTACAGCTAAATTGGATGAAAATCTACAATTGTCGCTTCTAGTCTTGGCACCATTTACACTTGATTGCCATATTCCAGTGAAACTATAATTTCTTTGTTTTCCATTTTTATTTTGTCTCTCTTTAAGGCACATTGATAGGCGTTTAGAAGGTAGAAAGATGAACAAGATTCAGCTCCTGTCCTTAAGGATCTCACCAGTTGTTACAGTACTTGAGGATTCTGAACATAAGCTGTCAACTTAAGTGCTATGCTGTGCAAATGGGAAATGAAGTGGGAGGGAGGTGGGGTGGGGAGAAGGAGTTAACATTTCCTGAACATCTACTATGTTCTAGTTGGTTTATTCTCCTTTAATCTTCCCCCCAATTCCCTGTGACAGGTATTATTTACCTCATTTTATAGCTTAAAGAAATTAAGCTTTAGAAAGCTTTAAGAATTTTCCCAGAGTAAGACAGCTGGTTTATGCTAGAGCCTGGTTTTGATTCAGGCCCATTAGCTTCAAAGATGATGCTATTTTCATGACACTGAGCTGCTGCTGTAAGACTGATGAGCAAGGAGTCTTGTTGGAATAGGGTCACCTGCCCAAGTTTCATGGTGCAGGTGGAATTTAAGCTGAGTCTTGTGAAGGATGAGTAGGATTTTTCCAGGTGTGCAGCAGCAGAGAAGTGGGGAAGTGGGGACTGTGAAAATGCCAAGCAGGTGGAGACTCTGAATGGACAAGTTTGGCTGGAACAGATCATCTGTATTTATTAATTTCTCTTAACAGATTTTGTTGAGTGCCTGCAATATTTCCTGGGGATACATAGATGACTAAGATGTAATTCCTGCCTCTCAAGGAGTTTAAAATTTACTTGGAGAGGCAAATAAACATACCCATGAGTCAGAGATTGTAATCCAGTACAGGGTAGTCTGGGCTACATTTGAGGCATGGACAGGGTTTTGAGGGATGCAGAGAGAGGTTTGAACAGTCTGATGTGAGTGTGTTTGTGTGTGTGCTCACTCGTGCATGTGTGTGAGATGTGTGAGGGCACAATGAAAGAGTAGCTGTGTCAAGTTTTGAGGAGAAGATTAGTTTGGTTTAATATGTGACGTTGGAGTAGTACCAGGATATTCATGTAAAACTGTTTTTGAGCAGTTAGAATCACAGGGCTACAGTTCAGGAGAGATGTGAGAGCAGCAGACTTCAGGATATTTAGGATCTCTAAGGGAAGGAATTTAGAAAGAAATGAGCAGAAGGTCTAAAGCTGAACTTTTGGCGATGGCCACTTTAGGTGCTGGGAAGAAGAGCCAGCAAATCCTGGTAAGAAGGAGGGCACCTGGAAGTGTGGAAGAGGGAAGAAGGATCATGGAAGCTACGAGAGAAGAGAACCCAGATAAGGTGGGGTGGTCTCCAGAGCGAGATGAAGGAGAAAGGAGATTGAAGAAAGACCGTTGATTTGGCAATTAGGTCCCAATGGTATCCTTCTGGAGGGCAGGTTTAGTCAACTTGTGGTATGGCAATCCACAGTATATACCCAATATTGGAATTGATGACTTTGCTTATGGTATTTGATTTTCATGTTTAGTGTAGTCCAGTTTATCAATTTCTTCAGTAATTTCTTTTGGATTTAGGGTCATGGTTAGGATGAGTCTAGGTGCTATTTTCATGGAGTTAATTTGGCTCTGGAAGCATGTTGTTGGTTCAGCTTTGTTATCAACTTGTGTCCCTGTTGGGATTTGGATCTTTCCTTTTACTTCCTTATTTTGCTTCAAGTAAAATCCTTTTTTGAAGTTTCTAGGTGAAAATTCTATTTGCAAGTTTATTTCTCTGAGAAATTGATATATACAGAATAATTTAGGTAGTTGCAGAAAGATGAATCTGTTAACGCAGGTTATGTCTCAAGATAGCAAAGTTGATGAGCTAAAGATTTAGTGGTTTCTATTGTTTATGGCATAAAGTTTATGAATTAGACATTTTTTGCATGAATGTTCTGTGACTTTGTGAGATTGCTGAGTGTGCCTTTGTGATTACCACCCATGGAGTCAAAGCCAAGTGGAAAGTTGTACCACAGTGTGATAGATGTGGTACTCACCTCCTAGACAGCTGAGCAATTAGGACAACTACGATATTGAAAAGTCCATGTCTTCTCCTTGGCAAACTTCTAAAATGCAGGGCTTTGAAATCTGCAGACACTGCTATATTACAGAAGTTTTCTAAAACTTCTGGGACTGCATTGTGATGGAAGTCACAAAAATGTGAAAACATGAAGGCTTTCCAGTGTAGTGTAGCAGAGTGGTTAAGTGGGTGGATACGGGAATCAGATTCTTTGGGTTACAATCCAGGCCCCTCCACTTGCTGGTGTCTTTGTCTCAGTTTCCTTATCTCTAAAGTACTAATAATAATTTTGCTTACTATATAGAGTTGTAGAGGGAGTTGAATGCATTAATAAATATAAACCATTTAGAACAATGCCTGGCATATATAGAATGAGTGCTTATTAATAAATGTCTTTTGTTATTGTTATTACTCTTACTGTGATCTCTGTTTCTCAGAGCCTAACCCACTGTCTAACCCACCACAGGCCAGCAAAATGTATGTGAGTGAAAGGAAAGGGTTAGAGGACGGAAAGGGCTAGTGAGGAGAAGACGGCTGGGCAGGAGAGAAGGGACGGGGACAGGGATTTTCTTGATAACTTTATGGTAAACCCTGCCATCTGTTTTTCTCTGAATGATACTTGCTTTCATTTTAAACTTTATTCTTTTCTTTATCTCCTACATCTACCAAGTCACCAATTTTGTCACTGTTTCTTTTGTTATGTCATATATTTGTTTCTTTTTGTCTAGTCCCACTGGAACTACCCTACTCTAGACTT